TACGAATGATCGAACGTTCTATAGCATTATTCAAATAAGGTCTTGCTTCATCACATGCATTCCTGATTCTGTCTATTAGCATATCTCTTGTGGGTACGGGAGACTGGTACACTTTTTCTTTTAGAAATCCCCACACAAAGAAATCTAATGGATTTAGGTCAGGGGCTCGTGGAGGCCAGGCGACTGGTCCTCCACGGCCGATCCATTTTTATAGATAATTTTCGTCCAGCCAGTTTCTAACTATTCTCGAATAATGAGCTGGACAGCCATCAAGCTGGAACCAGGCAAAACTTCTTAAAACTAACAAAACATAATCCCACCTATTTGCATGTTCAGCCTTTAAAAATTCCAAGAAGGTCGCAGCATTTAACCTTGCAGGCAAAAGGTAGGGTCCAAATAGTCGATTACGGTAGATACCAATCCACACGTTCACACTAAATTCATGCTGAAAATTTCTTTCCCGAACTGCATGCGGATTTTCATACGACCAAATATGTTGATTATGAAAATTTACCACTTATCATCTAGTGAAGCATGACTCATCGGTCCATAAAACGTTACTTAAAAACTCCCTATTATCAGTTCTATCAAGAATCCACTGACAAAATGTGATTCTTCGTTCTCCGTCCCCTGGCTGTAGTCCTTGCACAGGTTGCAAATGGTAAGGACGGTCTATGGTCATTTCTAAAAACACGGTGAACATGGCATGCTGAAATTCCCAAGGCACCAGAAACTCTCGTAACACTTGTGGTCGGATCTCTATCAAACTCACGCAGAATCATACGGGTAAATCTGCGCTGACGAACATTTATGTTTTGATCCCTTTGGAGATTTCCAAAACCGTTTTCAATTATTTGGCGATGCACTCTTACAAATACTGAGCGAGTTGGATGTCGTCTGTTTGGAAATCTTTGTGCGTATTCTCTGGCTGCTCCTGCTGCGTTTCCATTTACAAAGCCATACACAAAATGAATATCCGCTAACTCTTGATTGGAGAATAAAAATGGCATTTTTATAAAACTGACAAAAAAAAACAGGTAAAAGAAACTAAATTTCGTGAATTCACAATTGCAAAAAAACGTTTCATGTTTCAACAGACAACAAAACTAACTGTCAACTAATTGACGTGTAACCTTATTCTGCTTTCAATTTCAAAAATATTTGCAGGCACAGCCTACTTTTAAAAATTATCGGCAAACTGACCTTTTAACGTTATTTTATCATAAATAATTAAAAATGCGTCGAACCTTAAAAATCGAAATATCTCAAAATCGGCTAACTATAACGAAAATTCACAAGAGAGCTTTTTTATGTTGAAAAGTGCGAAGAATCGGTTTTTTTATTCAAAAAGCAAGAAATTGCACAAAAAAAAATTTCGGTCATTTTAATACACTGCAGGTACAGTAGAGAGCGCCCTCTAGCGGCTACAGTAAAACTATGCCCATGTTCCGTTTTGTCGTATCAAAAACCCTTGTATACCAATTTTCACTGTTATACATCAAATATTGTTCGATATATTTAAAAAAAAAACTATTTTAGAAAGTAAATTTAAACACCCTGTATTTCGGAAGCCACGCATTTTTCGACCCATGTTTATATAGACTTTATGCATTAATTTTAAAAGTTCTATCGAATCTTAAAGTTATGCAACAATAAACTGAAACACCCTGTATGTGAGGGAGATGGATGTATGAAAATACAGTAGTAATTTAGTAGTATAGTGTATACGAGGGCCATATTTTGAGATACATGAAAACTAAAAACTATGTTTCGAAAACTAGTTTATTTACGTTCAAAGTAATCTCTTCCAGCATCGATGAACTTCTATAGCTTGACCTTCCACAAATGAAATGCTTCTCACCAGTCAGTTTTTGGAATGCCTTCAACAAACTTATTAATTGCTTGATCGATTTCCTCTTCGGACGAAAATTTTCGACCACGCAGATTTTTTTTCAAATTGTTGAAGAGCCAGAAGTCACGCGTTTCCTAATCTGGCCATTAAGCATTAAGGCGGTTGGTCTAGGATTTTGATGTGGCGCTGGCATTTTCGTGATGCAGGATTGCACCTTTGCAACTACTTTTTTTTGAATGAAGATGATCATGCAAAATGGTACCCACTGTTGCGGATCCTACCGTAATAGTTGCCTCTATAGTCATCTATGCGCAGCGAGAATCTTCTTCAAATTGCCGCTGTATTTAGCACTGTTTTCTGGAGTCACACTAGAACATGGCCTACCGCTACGTTCTTAATCAGCCAATGAAACACGCCCTCTTTTAAATTCGGCATACCGAAACACACTTGGGCAGGACGGAGCTTCATTACCAATTGCCTGTTGTAACCGTTGGATACACTGATGTTGAGTTAAACCGACTTTTAAGTCATAGTAAATCATAGAGCGATAACTCTCTCGAGACAACTCCATGTATCGCCTAAAATTTGCTTACACCAATGAATGCGGCAACTCACTAATAAAGGACTGTTCTTTCTAATAGTGCACTGTTGCCGGTTTTAACTAGTACAGTTAATGCGCATTTCAAAATACACCGCGTGCCCCTCGTATTTCATCAACCAACCACGTACCTGCACCACGTAAATAGCCGAGCGCTTAGATGTCCACATAGCACCATAGTTGGGTATAAATGCTGTTAATGTGTAAACAAGACCATTCTCTTCTTGTTCACTTGTAGTAGCCGTGTGTGTTGCCTAAACGTCAAGATACTTGAGCTATATGCTCTGAGGTGTTGTAATATCTGCTTCAAAGCTGCCACTAGCGAAGTCCATCCATGGCTTCCATGACCTATATTACAGGTCGTTGTGCCATTCTTGTGAGATAGCGATTAGCTTACAAAAGTGCGATAAGGTCGCTATCATAAAGCGTATCTTACATAATGTTCATTTGCAATCGTCAGCACGGTCCAGGTGAACGGAAGCAAAGCAAAATAGCCTTTACCAGAAGTGTGAAGTACTAAAAAGTGCGACAGCATCAGTGCCATCTACGATGACAATTAATATAAACTGTAGCTAGGAAGTGTAAGGGAATGTCACAAAAAGTATAGAATGCAATTTTTATAGTTATACAGAATGTGAAGTTGACGCCTCTATTTACTGCGAAGAAAAACTTTTTCATGATTTTTGGACCTTCGCGTCCTAACAATATTGTAATTGTTTATTTTAATTACCCTGTATGTCATGCACCGGGTGTTTGAAATTCGACTCTCACCATTAGAATATCTGAAATCGTAAGAGATGCGAAGTTGGTTAAATTAACCAATATTATTTGCTATATTCAGAGACTAATTTAACCCTGAATAGATTAAAATTATTAGGTACGGTGGCATCCCAGCGGGCAACTGAGCGAATATTATTGGCAAAAATATGTATGCAACTGCCTTTTATGTAACTTTAATATTTATTGTTTGATTAAGCTTCTAAAAATACAACTTCTTTACCACTTGTATTTTTTTCGTATCGCACTTCGTTTTCGAGAAAAAAAAATAAAAACCGTTTTATTGCATATCACTGTACAAATTTGGTTTATTAACTTTTGATAAAAAAAATCAAGTGCCCTGTGTGTGTGTGTGTGCGAGGTGCACGGTACAATATGCCTTAGAGGCTGCAATGCCATCTCAGACTTTGATCGGACGGCTCCCGGAAAGGAAAACAAGACAGGAGATTCGACTTGAAGTTTTGCGATAGCAAGGTGCAATTCAAGTATAGGGGATAACGGCCCGCACGCCACTGATGTTTTCGCAATTCCGAGTAGAGAGAGACGAAAGAAACCGAGTTTTCCGAAAATCGTTTTTATTTTTTCTTTATTTGCGATGGAAGTTTGAAATAAAAAGTACATTAACATTGCCACTTGTTCTTCTCTACAAGATGACATAATTAAAATTCAAATATGACGTTTCGACTCTTGTATTCAATCATTAAATTTATTTTTTCTGATAGATGCCGTATTGTATTTTTGTACAGGTGAATACAGTTTTCACATCTAGTTTTAAATGATATATTATTTCGTACATTAGCATTGCCAAACCTTAGTTATTTAAAGAAGATGGTATTAAGTAGGCCTTAAAATTATTAGAAGGTTGTTTCATAGCACCATCAGCCAATCATTCTTTCCATTTTTATGAACTTGGTCAGCAATCCCCATTTCCAGTTTTGAAATATGTATCATTGTACATAGTATCATGATATGGATTGCTATTTCAAAACCTCAAATGACTAAGATACTAGTCTTCCTATAGTTGGTCTTACCTCATCAAATAAAGATCAACCTAATGGTAAAACTTTTTTATATTATTTAAGGGTCGTATTGAAAGCATTAAGTCAGTATTATCTCATGTAACTGATGGAGACATTTTGACGTAAATGAAAGCTTCGACTATATAGCAGCTCCCTTGAATTCAAATGCTATTAATCTACGGGCAGGTGTTAGAAAGAGCATCTCAGTCATGCTAAAATAACGCTTGTTATATTCGACAAATGGGAAAATTTTGTTTTTTTTCTGAAATAAAACAGGTTTCAGTAAGTCAATGTATGGCATTATACAATTTTGAAAACAGAATTACAAACTCCATTCACCTATGCAAAAATCCAATATGGCGTCTTGAAGAAAAAACAATGTTGTTGATTGAGGACAGTAGGCAGAACGAGATACTGAAATTCTGCACTCTTCATTTCAAAATCCTGTCTCAAATAAATACTATTTTTGGAAAAATCGGTTTCTTTAGTCAATCTACGGACATACACGAAATGCCGAAACTTTCCAAGTGTCATTTTCTTAGTTACTTAAATGCCCAACCTTGCCCCAATTTCCCTTTCCGAGATCTCAATGGTGGCGAATTTTTAAACACTCGAAATAATTCTTTATCAAACACATGGAAATTTCTCTTAGACGAATAGCTGAGAAACCCCACTTAACCATGTATCTCACGAAAATCACTTTACTATTCTATATTTTTTCACCCGACGTAATTATGACGGTGTTCCTTCGCAGATGATGGAGGAAAATGCAAATAATTTCACACCGTCAACCCCCAGGGAGCACAGGAGGAGTTTCAAAAAGAAACTGGTTGTGGAAAAAGAAAAGCCGGAACGAACATCGCCGAAGAGGAGAGCTGAGAAAAATGTCAACTCGTCGCCGGAGGACTGTGATTCGCCTAAGCCAAAACACAGGTGAGGTAACAATTTATTACCACAGCAAAATGTACAAGGTGTTACAAAATGTTGTCGGCGAACTTAAAGAGTAACATTCACAAACACCACTTGATACAACCCTTGATACTTGAGAAACCCGCTATGTTGATCCTGCTGACGACATCCTTCATTTACACATTAGATCTACTCCATAGCTAATACTTCTTAAGCAAACATTCCGAGTATCTTAGTTGTTTGCGATTGAACTGGAGAGAAGAGGGCTAACCGGATTGCTTATTAGGTTTATATTATTCCGAATCATGGGAACGAAGCATTCCCGGATATCTATCTTTATATGCACTTTTATTAATATTTCAATATGCTGGATCTGTTGTTCAATTTTCCAGCGTTCTGTAACACTCTGTATACCTTGGAGCTGGAAAGTTTCCAGCGAATATCGACCAGACCATATCTAAGTGCCGAGAATGAGCCATGCCCTTATAACCTCGAGCCCTCTAGGGCAATTATGTTCTGAAAATTACTGTTGCTCAGGCCGTTAATTATATTTCTCCAATTCTTGTATGTATGTATACTAAGTGACATATAAATCCGAACACCCAGTTTAAATGGTTTTATTTTAATAAAAGTTGGTGAATGTATTTATCTTACTGTAAATAACAAGTGAAAACATTTTCAGCCTTATCAGTTGGACATTGCGGTTTTTATACTGTTTATACAATGTAGACACTGTGGTTAGGTGTTGTCAGGCATGGCTTCGAGAAGGCCGTACGCAAAGAGCAAGGGGCACTGGACGCCGCCGTTGAACAACAGACCGTGAAGATCGCCGCCTAAGATTATTGGCCTTAAGGGACAGTTCCTCCACTACCAGGTCCATTGCAAATGAATGATTTGCAGAACACGGAAGACCTATTAGCATGCGAAGTGTTTACCGACGAATGAGAAGTTTTGGCTTGTTTTCATACCGGCCACACTGGGTCCTCCCTTTAACTCGAGAACACCGACGTAATCGCCTTGAGTGGTGCAGACAACGGTTACTCTGGGATCAGGAATGGAAGAGTATTGTCTTCAGTGACGAGTCTCGATTTTGTTTAGGCATGCACGATGGTCGTGCCAAGGTTAGAAGGCGACGTGGTGAAAGGAGGAATCCACAGTTTTTTCTTGAAAGACATGTTCATCACACTGTTGGAGTTATGGTTTGGGGTGCTATAGCTTATGGTTCCAGGTCACCTTTAATCTTCATCAGAGGTAACAAGAACGCGCAGCGTTATATCCACGAAGTTCTAGAACCCCATCTTTTACCCTATCTTGACACCCTGGCAGATCCAACTTTCCAACAAGATAATTCCCGACCACATGTTGCAAGAGTCACAATAGACTTCTTTCAACATAATGATGTCACATTGTTACCATGGCCACCAAGATCTCCCGACTTAACCCCAATTGAGCACGTGTGGGATATAATGGGTAGGAGATTGCTCAATTTGCAACGTCCTCCTCAGACTCTAGAAGCACTTCGAGAGGAGTTGGTGGTTGCCTGGAATGAGATACCACAGGAGGACATTGACCACCTGATCAGAAGCATGCCTAGGCGCGTTGGAGAATGCGTAGCACATCAGGGTGCATCCACACATTATTAAAGGTCAAAGGGCTTTAAAGCAGTGCAATCATTTGAAATTTTTATCATTTACTTATTATGCTTCATTAAATACTTATACAAAATTTTATTAAAATAAAACCATTTGAACTGGGTGTTCGGATTTATATGTCACTTAGTATATATTAGGTCGATATTGCCTGTAATATCCTATTTAAGGATGTTTTCATACCGTTTCGCAAGAACCTGCCTGATACCTTATCTGTGTAAAAAAACGACGGAAGGGATTTTTTTACCCAACGCCTTAGTAATATATGTGAAAAAAGAGTCAAGTAGGTTGACTTTGCATTTCTCACTCAACGCTGTTATCAGTCCATAAATGAGTTCGGCCCAAGTGTCCCTCTGGGGAGAAAGTTCTGTATAACAAAAATTAAATGGATCAGATAAGTCAACCAGGCTTCGATAAATACTTAATAGTTCTCGCACATTTGACAACATTGCTGTGACTACAGATAAAAAAAAACATTCTCATTTTCTAAAATTTTCGCGATTTTAATGTGTTCTCTCCAGTTGGTGTGGGAAGTAAAAACGCGAAGCTAGACGTTAGACGCAAGTGGGTAATCGTTGAGGGCCTTAACCGTTATCACATAGATAAAGGACTGCATTTCCAAACAGGATTCTTCAATCAAATTAAATTGAACGACTTCGTTTGTCGTGCTGCGTCGATACCAATAGGAGCGGGTGTGTCATAATCAGGAAAAGTTTAGACAGCAACTTTGTTTTCTTGACGTTTCGTGGTAGACAGATAAAAAAATAATATATTTTGTCACTAATTTTCTTCTGCCTGCCTCTTTTTTTGTCGATAATTCGAGCTACAAGTATTTGAAACGAGTGAAAAAAATTGATCAACACAACATTGGTTTCTTCTCTTTCAATATATTCGACTATTCAAGAATCGATTTTAGAAAAGAATAATCGATTTTTCTGGAGGGTCAGTATGTATGTTTATGGCGAGGAAGTATTGTAATCGCGAAACATTTCGAAAATAAGATGTTACGTTTTTTAGATGTACGAGGGTGGTCCCAGAAGTACCCGGCCTGACCTAGAGATGGCGATAGTTGTTTGAAAAATATCATTGTATTAGAAAGTATGCAACCTATAAAGCATATGTGTCAAGTTTGAAGACGCCACGTTGTTTAGTATTTGTATGGCAGCCATCAATACTGAACGTTTTCAGTGAATTTGTGAAAATGGAGAAAATTGGTCATGGTTATGTGATGCAATACTTTTATTTCAAGGGCCTCAGCCCAACCAATATATAAGCTGAACTGGATTCTACTCTGGATGAGTCTGCTCCTTCGTTTACAACAGTAAAATATTGGGTAGCAGAGTTTAAACGAGGCCGTATGAGCTACCAAGACGAGCATCGCAGTGGTCGACCACATGAGGTGACGACTCCAGAAATGGTGAAGAAAATTCAGAAAGCGGTACTGAATGATCGTCGACTGAAAGTGCGCGAGCTAGCAGATATACTAGGCATTTCGAAAAGTGCGGTTCATCGCATATTATCTGAAAATTTGGACATGAGAAAGCTGTGTGCAAGATAGGTGCCGCGATTGCTCACAATCGAGCAAAAATAGTATCGTGAAGACGGCCGCATTTGGTTAAGAAGAAAGTGTTGTTTCATCAAGACAATGCACCACCTCACAAATCCGTTATTGCAATGGCCAAAATTAACGAATTAAAGTTTGAATTGCTACCTCATGCACCCTATTAACCAGATTTAGCCCCCTCGGATAATTTTCTGTTTCCAAATTTGAAAAAATGGCTCAGCAGTCAAAGATTTTCCAACGATGAAGAAGTGATGTCGGCAGTTAATGGCTATTTTGAAGAGCAAGACAGTTCTTATTACAAAAAGGTATCGAACTTATTGAACATCGCTGGGAAAAGTGTATAGAGCTCAAAGAAGATTAAGTTGAAAAATATATAGATTTTTTTAAAAAAAGTTTGTGTTTTCTTCGTTGGGTCGGGTACTTCTGGGACCATCCTCGTATGTCATTTATTTATGTCGGTTCGTCTGCTGGTTTGTCGGCCTGTCCTTTAATTGTCGGCAAGAATCGTTTGTATTTGGATGAAACTTTTACACAAAGTTACTACTATGCCAAGGACAAAAAAGCGATGTAGTTTTTGGAAGTCGGCCCAGTGGCGGTGAAGCTACCAGGCAAATAGCAAAAAAAGTCAGTGCTCAAACTTCTTTTCTGTCATTCCATAGGCATCTGAACATTTTCACAAAAAAATTAGAAAGGGTAAAAAATTGGGGTTGTAGGGTTGGGAGAGAGTAGATAAATTTTTAGTCAAGTTAGTATATTTAATAGTTATATACGCGCAGTTTAGACATATTTAGATAGATTTCTTTCCCTAAAACTTGGAATGCTGGAGAAATGAAGACACAAGTGGATAAGGGTGTCATGTAACGAAATCATTTTATGGATAAAATGGACTTTAAATATTTTTTATTGGGACTTTTTTCTTCATTGAATTTATTATCTTGTTTTTGCAACAAATTTCTCAAAAAATAAAAGAATCACTCCTCAAGGTTAGTTTAATGCAAAAAAATCAATTTTTAAAAAATGTTACACGACACACTTTATCCACTTGTGTTTTTAAATATTTACAGACGCGTTTTGGCGTCTATGCAGTCATAACAAGGTTCAGGTGCGTCTGCACGCATTTGTCTCAAAGGCGAGGAGGAAGTATCCAGCAACAAGAGATAACGTTTTGTGGAGGAGGGGTGGGTAGATAATTTTTTAGGGGGGAGATTCTATGAAGGGAGCTGATTTTTAAGAACTGATAATGGCATTGCGTAGGAAGTGTAGAGTCAACCTACTTGACACTATTTTTGCTTATTCTCTTAGGATTATTTACTGGTCGAGGTATACGTTCTTGAATAGAATTCAATGACTGCACATGATTTGAATTCGAATAGGGATAAGTAAATATACAAACTTACAACAATCCTGGCAAGCACTAGATACAAGTACTAACAGTATTAATAAAAAGTTTAAAGAGCTATGAGGAACTTGAAAAAGACAAAAAGTCCATTTTCAAGGTTTTTTTTGAGCAAAGCGTTCAAAAGTATATCTATCTTGGTTTATCCTGATGGGTAATGGATACGTAAAAGTGCAAGACCTACTCGATCTTGCGAAATTGCCGTGTTTTCGAACAACGAAGTGCTGAAAAGCTCTGATTTCCGGGTAGACAGAGCGCAACAGGTAGCGATGTCCCTAATTATACCTTTAGGACATATTCCAAACCTGCAATTTTCGTCCAAGAACTAGTAATTATTTCCGGTTCCACTGAAAATGAATTTTCTGCGATACTTACTAAAGACTCGTAATACCTCCGATTTTTTAACACGTTGTACAATAATAGCTCAAAACGATATTTAGGAAAACCTTATCTTTCAGTTGACTCATTGCTCTTCGTTAATACACATGCATGACGCTATCTATTTATAAAGAGCCTCACCTAATCCGAAAACAGTGGATTGTAAGAGAATTTGGAAAAGAACGGCAATTGAGACGAAATGAGTTTGTTCTCTCCAGGATGTTTGCGTATGGTGATGCCCGATGCAGATTAAACGGAGCGGTGCGAAACAGCAAATAGGCGTAGAGCACGAGGGGCTTAATTCCGAAAACATGCAGTAGCATATTCGAGCGATACTTGGAATGTTATTGCTAAGATGGTTAAACAATCGTGCATTTTTACAAAGACAGCTTTGATTCTCATGAAGTCAGTTTTTCATAATATTCGTATTCAACATTTTCAGAATCATCTACTAGCTGTAAAATCTGATCATTTATTTTCATTTGTGACATTCATTCATGTAATAAGCTTGCTTTCAACTTGCTTAATACGATTTTGTCCCTCTTTCAGACAAAAGAAATCTAGTCGCCGCACCCGCTCCCCAGGCAAGCACCACACGCCATCTAGCGATGCGAAGTTCAACTACGATGAGCGCCATCTAGCGAAATTTAGAAGCGGCGGAGTGGGAGGCAGTACCACCACCAGAATGACCCCGCCTTTGCCTGACTTGAGGGTGGATTTTGCTCCAGAGAGGAGGAGTAGTCAGCAGGTGGACCATATCGGACTCCCTTCTATTGAGAAAAGAGGGAGTGTTTGTTTGAATAAGTGTCTGAGAGAGGTAAGTACCTAGCAGTTTCGCGGCATACACACGTCTTAATAACGTCATATTCAAAAGCCAAATCACGTTTAATATGTTTTAAATTACGTCAAAAAATGCAAAATGTTATTTTAGCTGTCGGAATTCTGTAGTTACCTGTACCTTTAAATCGACCCCATAAAATGTACTAGTACCACGAGTCCTTAAAATTCCGGACGTAAGCTCACTTCACTCGCGAGATTTCCGGGTGGAAGGTGAACTCGAGGGAACAACATCGATAACAAAATCTACTTTACCTTTAACATTTATGCCGTTAACTACTATCTGCAGTCGGATCTTCGATTCTGTCCCGACCATATCTTAGTTTTCCGAACTACAAAGTGGACTCCAATTTGCGGAAGAACGTGGGAACTGTGGTTTTTGTTCGCAGCAGTCGTTTCTGCTCTAAACATCTTAATTCGGAATCGGGCCGGAATGACATTCTGCGGCTTTCGCTAAACTATCAAACTATCCCCCAAATTTGTTTGCTGCCTCGAACCATAACTGGGATGACCTACTTGAATACCTCGCTGTCAAGATCGACTTCTTGAACAGCTTCAGAGGTAGTGCGCTTCGGTGATTTCAATGCCCATAATGAACTCTGGTTGGGTTCAAACAGGGGCCCAACTAGCAAAGTAGTGGTATAAGCTTTTGGTAAAAGAACCGTTCAGCCATAAAAGCTCTCTATTGTTGTTGCCAAAATGCTGGCTTAATGTTGTGTGGAATGCAAATTTGCTTTCTGCAACATATTTGCTCTAAAATGAGGTGTTTAAAATATTCTTATAGCATAGTTATACAACACCTTATAGAGCAAATTTTTAACTGTTGCATAAACGTTTATACAACTATTTTATACGGCATATTTGCAAGTTAGTCAAAATGGTTGTGTTGTGGCACCCATGCTAACGTTTATAAAACAAACCCGAGCCGTGTTGCTTTGCTGTACAATTTACTACATTAGCCAACAAATTGCTCCCAACGGAAGCACTTATACAACTGTTACATATGTTAAATATGTTGGTAAACAACTTCACCATAACCTAACTTTCTGCTGTCATATTTTTGTTAAAATGCCATAACCAATGTTTTAAGACAAACAACGCATGCCTATTTCAAAAGGTTTTATCAACTGTTCAAACAGAAGATATAGATCTGGTACAAATTCTGGGTAAATCATTCGACTCTGTCGGTATTTCATTTCAGACATTTGTCAAATTGTTGTATAACACCTGCAGGCAACACCAAAATATTCTAATAACCTAAAGACAACATAACTTAACTTTCTGCTGTCATATTTTTGTTAAAATGCCATAACCAATGTTTTAAAACAAACAACGCATGCCTATTTCAAAAGGTTTTATCAACTGTTCAAACAGAAGATATAGATCTGGTACAAATTCTGGGTAAATCATTCGACTCTGTTGGTATTTCATTTCAGACATTTGTCAAATTGTTGTATAACACCTGCAGGCAACACCAAAATATTCTAATAACCTAAAGACAACATGGACGATGCCATGATTGTACACAACCACCCGCCATATTGGGCAAACATTTATCCCTCTATTTAATATTAAATAATTATGTTTCAGTTCGAAATTACAGATATAAAGTGATAAACATTAGTGTAATTGTGTCTAAATATAGGATTTGTGGAAGATTTAACGCAGATAAGTTCAGTTTTCCATCTTAAAAATCTAGACATACTTTTGATCATTGTCAAAATATGAATCAAATACGAAGCCCCTAGAAATTGGGTAACTAATTTGCACGATAATCACAATAAAATTTGCTGCGCATACCTGTGTATGAAATTCACAATGTAAGTAAACAAGATGACTGTAATGTGTTAGCTATATATATTCTTCACTTCGTCTATACAATACATAAGAAATAGTTTGGTTGCAATAAAGTAGAATCACGTAACAGAATAGTTGTATAGTTGACAAAAACTGAATCTTGCACTGACGCAAATCTCCTATGGCGGCTGCAAGAGTCTTACACGTTTGTTTTATAACTGTTACCTGCAGCCCTTATACAACCTCTTAAATGACTGAAGTGTCCAATTAGGTGTGCCCATTCCGCTTGTATAGCTGTTCTAAGAGGGTTTTGCTAATGTTCTTACAGTATACAATGTTGTTTAACGAATACTGTATAATCATTCTTGCAACTCTAATAGGAGTGATAATTGTTATTTGGGAGGCGACGGAGCAGGTCGTGCCGTTGAAGTGTTCGCCATTATCTAAGGACTGACGCTGTTAGTGGCGAGCCTGTCTAAGCCGATTTCTGCCGCTGAGCTGGACAGAAGCAGCGACTTCCTCCCTGACGAGAGATGTGGGCATGTGGAGGTCATCATTGCTTGGTATCTACAGTTTAATGCTTCCAAAATACAGTATTACTCAGACGGTTTCGATGGATGGCCGAGTTCTACCAAAAAGCCGTTCACTTCGGCTGGTCGGAATCCAGATCACCGAGAACGTCTGGTACAAAGACATCTCGTCACTCGCGGCAGCTGCTGAGAGGAAGCTAGGCTATCAGTTTCGGGCTCAGACATACCCCTTTCATATAACCTACTCACTGAGTACAACCCCAGATAAGTCCTAGCCTAAAGTACTGCTCACATGTTTGGGGTGCTGCCGCCCCGACTACATTATCTGCTCTCAGTTCAGAGGAGCAGTGTCCTGATCGATTACTCCTCCTCAACGGATAGTCCCGGTACCCTTTTGCACCAACTGGCTCTGCTTCAGCTTTTCATTCTAACCATGTTGAACCTCATACATTCAGAGGTGGCCAGTTCGACTGCTCCTTTGTTCCTAGGATATCGTGATTGGTGAACAATATGCCTGAGAGGGCTTTTCTCAGTTGCATTAATCTTGGACAGTTCGAAAATTGAATTAACAAAGTCTCTTTAAGTTCCTTCTGCGGTATAATAAGATCATGAATTTGCGACAGGCAGATTCCTATACACCCGTAGGCAGTGGTATATAAAGCGCTTTCTTCCAATTCTGTGTCTGGATAACCTAAATCAAGCTTGATATGATTAACGTTTCAGGTTGGATCTCACATGGACCAAACAATAAACGCGATCAACGTGACGACCAATCCTTTGGAAGCCCAAACGCCACACTTTCCATCTCCCAGCAATAAAAAGAATGCTGCTGCTACGATCGTGGTGCAGCAGGCATCGGTCAGCGAAAACATCAGCACGATTTTGCTAAAAAGTGGAGCTGAATTCGTTTCGAATGTGCAACAGGAGAAGACCAGGAAGAAGGAGGAGAATATGAAGCAGTTGCTTGATGTAGCGAATAATCTTACGTTGGAGGAGATTCACGACTTCGAAATGCGGTAAGTTGCTTGGGTTATTTATAACGGGTGATTTTTTAAGAGGTATAGGATTTGATTTTCAAAAAAAAACACAAAAAATTTGAAAAAACGATTAAATCTTTATTTGAGTCGATAGAACGGTCGATATAATTTAATGTTTAAAGATTATTTTATGTAAACGTTGGCCGCGGCTCCGCTTTAGATGGCCCATGCGCAAGGTCCAATTTTGGCACACTCTCTCCAACATATCGGCCGGTATCTCACGAATAAATGCTTCAATATTGGCTTCCAGTGCGTCAATCGTTGCTGGTTTATCCCTGTAGACATTAGCCTTAACATGGCCTCACAAGATGTAGTCCAACAGCGTTAAATTACACGATCTAGGCGGCCAATTGACGGGCCCCAAACGTGAGATAACTTCTGGCTGGTCTTCACTCCAGATGCGGCAATTTTGCTTGTTAATGTACCCATTCAACCAGAAATGAGCTTCGTTGCTGAACACAATTTTTCGATAAAAATGTGGATCTTCCTCCAACTTTGCCAGCGCCCATTCACCAAATTGGAAACGTTGTGAGAGGTTGTGTGGCTTCAGTTCTTGCACCAGCTATATCTTATAAGGTTTTACACCCAGATCCTGTCGCAAAATTTTCCACGTGGTGGAGTAACAGAGGCCCAATTGCTGCGAACGGCGGCGAATCGACATTTCACGGTCATCACTAACACTGGCGGATACAGCCGCAATATTTTCTTCAGTCCTCACTCTACGTCTGCGTGTTGGTGGTTTAATGTCCAATAATGTAAACTGGGTTCGAAATTTAGTCACAAGCTTCTGAATAGCTCCCTCAGTAGGCCGACCAAATTGCCCATAAATTGGAAGCAGTGCTCGATGCACTCTTAACCGAGCATGAATTTTGATAGTAAAATTCAATAATTTGCAAGCGTTGTTCGTTCGTAAGTCGATTCATGGTTAAATTATAGACCAAACTGAACAAGTTTGACAATGACACAAGACACGATTCACGCGTCATCTGTCAAAAACGGTGTTGCCAAAAAGATACTAGCAAAAAAATCACCCATTATAACTCGTTTTCTTATCGTTTGTAATTGTACCTCAAGCAGGATGATTTTCTTCGTTCTCCCTGAATCACATTGCTTAGCATACAAATTGTGGCGTGTCTCAGCTGACTACTTAGTATTTCAGATGCTATGTTAATAATAAAAATGTTAATATGTTAGCACGTCACACAACCCAACGCACAATGGTCCACTAACAATCAGGCATCACATTTGGAAAAACCGGGACACTTGTCCCGTTTTTCATATAACAGCACAAAGCTTTTTGTGAAATGGCCGTATAACCATTATTAAAATTGGATACGACAGCGCAGTTAGTGAGCTATACTTTTTTTGAAGACTTATGTGGACATTTCGTGAAGTTTTTAGTAACTGTCAGTTTTATTGGACATGACATTTTGCTAACGTCTTTCGGGCGGACTGGGAGATAATACCCCAGGTGTAGAGATATCTTATGACTTGTGTTAAGTGATAAGTAATCCGAAATCGTTATTAATATCGCTTATTCAAAAATGCAGGTATCTTGGACAGATAAATTAAAAATCAACAGGAAATACAAGTATACGTGTTGGCAAACTTTACAGCTATTTTCCTAATAGACTTTCCTTTGTCAACATGATCCAGCGCATTCCTTGTTGTGACAAGAACAATTTTGTTTTTATTTTTGTGGTTCTGTTCGTATTTGTACTTGAAGGGCATTTTCTTTAGTTGTTCTGAAAAATAGAATAAATAATATTTTGGTATACTTTACTATATAAAATGGTTTTGTGCACCCCGTATAATTAAGACGATGCCATTCCTTTCAAACCTAAATTTCGATCTTATTTAAATAGTTTATAGGTTTCAATACAGTTCAGTATGGTTATCAATTTCTGTACCGGATACAGTAAAGTGGCTCCGCTGTTTTGGAAATATAATAATTCGGGTAAAATTGTGATCTACGACTTAAAACACATAGAGACACAAATTTTTAGACAACTAAACTTTTAGACTTTGGTCAAACTTTAAATATTGAAACAATACACTTTTTCTTAAAAACGAATCAATTAAGCTAAAGTTGTCTCACTATAAAAATGTAATTTTGAACCACTATTATAGAAGGTGTATCAATTTTCGTGACTTCTAGTCCGTCCGTGACCTGTTTTTAACCGATATCAATATATGCAGCTCTACCTGTTCATAACCCCGTCAAAATTTCGTTAATTTACTCATTATCGTTCAAAAGAAAGAGAACACAAATTTCCAGTGGCGGGAGAGAACATCATCGGGTAAGCTCCCGTGCTGCTAGGTTTTTAAAGTCTCCCGCCCTCCGCCATTTTGATATCTTTGGCTGATTTTAAAAAAAACTAGAGATCATACAGATTTGCTGTATCAGTACATTTTAACTTACCATGCGCCTTAAATCATCTTGTCACGTGAACGTAAAGAACACCAATAGGAACGCGTTTGCATTGTGTCAAGGTCAGATGCACTGCTAAACTGTCCCCTAAAGGCCGTCTGTCTCGATACGAAATTTTAGTACTCTAAATTTCGTACAAAATTAAGGATAGTATCAGACAGCATTTAGTACATAATTTTGTATGAACAAATTTAGTGCTAAATTTTTGAGAATCTGTTCTAAATATTATCACTAAAAGTGCGCAAACGACTACTGTGCATTTGGAGCAGTAAAATGGCTGATAGAAACGTGTCCAGAAAGTACATGTTTTGTGTTAACTCCTTGATGTTTTGTGATGTTTGGTTGAGATGATAATTGCTTGTTCTGCTTCTAGATTGAAAACTTAAAAGATGTCATGGTCAAAAGAGCAGTGTGACATACTACTGAACGAGTATGAAAAATATGATTGTCTATATGCTGTAAAAAGCAAGTCCTATAAAAACAGAAAAACCAAAAAAGCTGCATTTGATAAAATCAGAATGACTTTAGAACCAATAAGGCTTATAAGCCAGTGGATCTTGCACTAGACGTCCTATATCCATTTTAATGAGCAAACCCCTGCCCTGGTCCCTATCGCTGATCCGGTTTCGGCGCCTAATTCTTTTATGGTTTTGCTGACTTCGTTTTCTGATGAGGTGGGCAGGTCGCTGCTGCCGGAGTCGCATCTGATACGAGGGGCACGCTGTATATTTTGAGATGTGCATTAACTATACTAGTTAAAACCCGTAGCAGTGCACTATTAGGCAAAGCAGTCCTTGATTAGTAAGTCGCCGCACTCAGTTCAATTGTAAGTTTCTTACAGTGCACGTGGTGTAAACAAATTTAAGACAAAACATGGAGGTGTCTCGTATCGAGAGAGTTATCACGCTATGATTTAATATGACTTTAAAGTCGCTTTAACTGAACGTCAATGAATCGAACGGTTACAACAGGCATTTGGTAATAAAGCTCCATCCCGGGCAAGCGTGTTTCGCAGGTAAGCCGAATGTAAAAGAGGGCGTGTTTCATTGGCTGGTGGTAAGTCATGTTCTAGTGTGACTCCAGAAAACATTACTAAAGTTCAGGGGCTAATTTCAGAAGATTCTCGCTGCACATATGCGGCTATAGAGGCAACTCTTGGGGCAGGATCCGCAACAGTGCATACCATTTTGCATGATCATCTTCATCCAAAAACGTTGCTGCAGAGATGCAATCCTGCATCACGACAATGCTTCTAGCCACACTGCCCAACAATCTGTAGAATTTTTACGCCAGCGCTACATCAAAATGCTAGAACATCCTTATTCGCCAGATTTGGCAATGTGTAACTTCTGGCTCTTCAGGAATTTGAAAAAAAATCTGCGTAGTCCGAAGAGGAAATCGATTAAGCAATTAATCAGTTTGTTTGACGCGTTCCAAAAACTGATGGTTAGAAGCATTTCATTTGTGAAAGGTCAGGCTACAGAAGTGCATTAATGCTGGAGGAGAATACTTAAACTAGTTCTCGAAAAGATACTTGTTAGTTTTCGTGTATCTCAAAATATATAGCGTGGCCCTCGTATATGCGAATTACGGGGTCGCTCCATTTTCTGCAATTTTCTATTCGTTCAAAGTAATAAAGAAATAAAGTAGCAGGCCGCAAAGCAAACTGTGGCTACAATAACTTTGACGTGATAGATAACAGTTAGACGTTGACAGTTATAGTTTTTTCTACGAACTGCGCATGATTTCGTACGAAATTAAATAGAAAAATGTCTTTACATGTCAGACAGGTTTGTAATTGGTAAATAAATCGGGAATTAAATTCAGTAACGAATTTCTTCACGAAATTTGGCACCTAATTATGAACCAAGTTTTGTATCGTGACTGACGGCCTCAAATGATTGTTAACGTTATACATTTGATCTTGAAATGTATCATTCTGTAACGTATCTGCAGTAGCATAACATTTTTATTTGACGGATTTCATGTTCTGGGAAAGATGTGATAATTTCTAGTAGAAGTAGAATCGCTATAAGCATCCGAAAGCATCTAAAGGAAGCTAGAAAGGTCTAGAGCAAGCTCTAGAAGCCGGATTTTCAACAATATGTCAGGATCAGCACCTATCCGGTTATCTTATTTTGTTCTACTTGATTCGGGGTCAATCATTTTCAAACTACCTGATACTTGATGGCAAATAATATTTTTGTTCTACTGAAGGCATTCAGTGATGACGACCGATGAACTGCATTTTGCTTTTAATGCAAATAATCACGATTGTTAGACAAGTCATGAAAATGTTTTCCCAAATCTACATTTAATGACAAAAGATTTTTTTATCGACACCTGCAACATCAGCGCTCATTAAAAGGGAACTTTATAGGTCTGCACTGAGCATTATGGAACCTCGCAATGGATTAAGCGATAAATCCGTTAGTGTGTGTCTCAGCTAATGGTTAGCGAATAAAATGCTAGTTCAGAATTTTTCATTTTTTTGTAGCAGCTGATGAAGAAATACTTTTTTCCAATTGAGTTCACAGTTGTGTTGTTTTCTT